CCACAAACACCAATAGATAGGTGCCTATAGTATCTCCTCTGTTATTAGCTAGAGGAACTCAAGATGGGTGAATTGATTTTATCCCATTCATACTACAAGAAAAAATGGATCTATCCCTAAACGTAAAACTCTAAGGTATATCTTGCTCAATTTAGCTGCGGTTTCTTTAAGGTATAGCAGCACCACTTCCCATAAACAACAATAGATAGGTGCCTATAATCTCTGCAAATACCTGATAAATTGGATCAACAGGAACAATGGTTGATAATACTTATACTCTTTATCTTTAATCTAACTGAATTCAAGTATTGTCATTGTTTTATTAAATTAGCCTTTACTATTGTATTTTTTTCATTTAGGGTACTAATTTGAAGCATTAGATTATAACAAAATCAAACTCTAATATGATTACCAAAAAAAAAAAAAAAACTCTAATATGAATATATAAATAACTAAAATACCAATCCCTATCCCAGAGATATATAAAAAAAAAAAATGAATACCCAAGAGTTGTTGGTTTTGTGGTGTTTCGGCTAGATGAATTTGATCTGTTCAAAGAGTAGTTAGTTCAAACCATGTGAAACGCAATTCCTAGAGAGAATGGGTTGAGAGATTGAAACCCAAAATCAAATATTGGTTAACATAAAAAAAATAACTAATTTATTTATTTATTGGTATAATTTAGGGGTGCAAATTAATTCCTAGAGAGAATGGGCTGAGAGATTGAAACCCAAAATCAAATATTGGTTAACATAAAAAAAAAATAACTAATTTATTTATTTATTGGTATAATTTAGGGGTGCAAATTAATAAATAGATAGGGAAAAATTTAATATGGTCATGGACTTTATGGTCCCTGCAATAAGAATATGACACTTTATTAATTTTTTATTTTTCTCTTTTTTCTTTTCTCTCTCCCCAGCTCTTTCTCTTTCTTTCTTTCTCTCTCTTTCGTCCCACCTATTGAAATAAGATAATATTTGTTGAGTTGTACAATTGTTGGAATTTTAATCATTGATTACACAGTTACATAATCATAGGAGATTTGTATTAAATAGATTAATTTTCTTATTTGCAGTTGATTGGCATAATCATAGGAGATTTGTATTAAAAAGAAATAGTAACAGGTTATTCATTTCCTTATTCATAGCTGATTGACAGCTAATTTGTATAGACCTAAAGTCCTCATTTATGTATATAATTACCCCAGTAGAAGAAGAATATATATGTAGAAATATTCATAAGATAACACCATTGTTTTGACATGGTATCAGAGCATTTTTGATCCAGGAACCTATTTTCATTAAACCTCCCACATCGTATTGTTCAATTTTGCTGACTCAAATTTCTTTTTCTGTTACCCATTTCGAATTTCTATTTTCCCATGAACAATCCCAAAACCTCCTTCGAATTTTCAACCCTGCTGACCCATAATTCTCTCACTGGACAACTTCACCATTCCGAAAAATCGCGCGTGAAGCATCTCTCTAGTTGCAGTTTCTCCGTGGTTTTCTCTCGTTGTGATGATTCTAGTCATTCTAAACAGATGTGTTATGAGCTGATTGGGTATCCTAAATAGTGGGATTTTCAATAAACATCCCCGGAAGAAAATACCTGCCAAAGCCATGACCATTGTCTCCGCTAGAGATGTCCTGTCCCTACTGCCAATTTTACTCAATCCGATATTTTGTGTAAGTCTCTTGCTTTCTATACATTGTCTGGGAATAATATTTGGATAATTGACACAGGTGCTTCTGATCATATGATTAAAGATTCTTTCCAGTTGTTCAATCTCTGTAATTCTTCTCAATCCGTTATTTCCACTGCCAATAGGGGTACCTCAAAAATTATTGGTCAAGGATCCTTAACCCTTTATGATAGCTTATTTCTAGACTCTATGTTGGTTGTACCCTCTCTTGAATATAACTTACTCTCTATGAGCCAATTAACTTCAAAGCTTAACTGTTCAGTAACCTTTTTTTCTCTCACTGTGTTTTTCAGTACATCCCCACTCGAACTACTCTTGGTTATGGTATTAGCCTAATAAAGTTTATCAGGCTTTCTAAGCTTGTCACCAAAAAATTTAATTAAATTTTTTATTATTTTATTATATTTAAAATCAATTTATAGGTTTATAAGTCTATCCTTTTAAAAGTAGGTCAATGACTATTTCTTAAATAAGCTTTTTTATAAATAATTTTTATTTTACTAAATATATTATGTTAGGTTTGACTAATCTTAAGATATGTCGTAGGCCGTCTAATTAATTTATACTCTTAATAATAAAAATTACGACATCAATATAATTTTTAAATATTTTTTTTAGAAATAACTTTTATTATTATGATGTAACATTTCATAAATAATATGAAACATCACCTAATAATAAATCAAATGTCAATTAATATTGTGTTAAGAATATTTCTAATTCCCACAATTATGTTGTAGTACTGTTAATAACAATATTAAAATTATCAAATTATTAGAATTATGGGATCGAGATCTTATATACCTTTTTAGAATTGTGGGATTATATAACTTAATATTAAAATGATCAAATCAACATAATTATAGAAATTATCACTTACATAGTTTTTTAGTCTTGAAATTATATATATATATATATATATATATATATATGACATTGAGATCTTCTATAACTTTTTAAAATTTTTACATGATTTCAACTGTAAAATTTATTTTATTTTATAGCTAAAAGTAATTCTACATATAATTAATGGGTTCGCTTTTTTTAAAGTGAATGTAGATAACTTATCTACACTGAGCCCAAAACGGCGTCGTTTTGAGGCAGAAATTAAGGTATTTTTATAATTATAATTTATTTTAGGGTTATAATAGTCTTTTTCATCATAATTTTTTAATTTTTCAACCCAAACCATGTGAAACGCAATTCCTAGAGAGAATGGGTGGAGAGATTGAAACCCAAAATCAAATATTGGTTAACATAAAAAAAATAACTAATTTATTCATTGGTATATTAGGGGTGCAAATTAATAAATAGATAGGAAAAAATTTAGTATGGTCCTGGACTTTTCCCTCTGATAAGAATATGACACTTTATTAATTTTTTATTTTTCTATTTTTTCTTTTCTCTCTCCCCAACTTTTTCTTTCTTTCTCTCTCTTTCGTCCCACCTATTGAAATGAGATAACATTTGTTGAGTTATACAATTGTTGGAATTTTAATCATTGATTACACAGTTACATAATCATAGAAGATTTGTATTAAATAGATTAATTTTCTTATTTGCAGTTGATTGGCATAATCATAGGAGATTTGTTTTAAATAGAAATAGTAACAAGTTATTCATTTCCTTATTCATAGCTGATTGACAGCTAATTTGTATAGACCTAGAGTCCTCATTAATGTATATAATTACCTCAGTAGAGGAAGAATAAATATGCAGAAATATTCATAAGATGACACCATTGTTTTGACATGATATCAGAGCATTTCTTATCCAGGAACCTATTTTCATTAAACCTCCCATATCGTATTGTTCAATTTTCCTGACTCAAATTTCTTTTTCTGTTACCCATTTCGAATTTCTATTTTCCCATGAACAATCCCAAAACCTCATCTGAATCTTCAACCCTGCTGGCCCATAATTCTCGCACTGGAACTCTTCACCAGTCCGAAAAATCGCGCGCGAAGCATCTCTCTAGTTGCAGTTTCTCCGTGGTTTGCTCTCATTGTGATGATTCTAGTCATTCTAAACAGATGTGTTAAGAGCTGATTGGGTATCCTGAATAGTGAGATTTTCAATAAACGTCCCTGGAAGAAAATACCTGCCAAAGCCATGACCATTGTCTCCGCTAGAGATGTCCTGTCCCTGCTGCCAATTTTACTCAATCCGATATTTTGGGTAAGTCTCTTGCTTTCTATACACTGTCTGGGAATAATATTTGGATAATTGACACAGGTGCTTCTAATCATATGATTAAAGATTCTTCCCAGTTGTTCAATCTCTGTAATTCTTCTCAATCCGTTGCCAATGAGGGTACCTCAAAAATTATTGGTCAAGGATCCTTAACCCTTTCTGATAGCTTCTTTCTAGACTCTGTGTTGGTTGTACCCTCTCTTGAATACAACTTACTCTCTGTGAGCCAATTAACTTCAAAGCTTAACTGTTCAGTAACCTTTTTCCCTCTCACTGTGTTTTTCAGTATATCCCCACTCAGACTACTCTTGGTTATGGTATTAGCCTAATAAAGTCTATTAGGCTTTCTAAGCTTGTCACCAAAAAAGTTAATTAAATTTTTTATTACTTTATTATATTTAAAATCAATTTATAGGTTTATAAGTCTATACTTTTACAAGTAGGTCAATGACTATTTCTTAAATAAGCTTTTTTATAAATAATTATTTTATTTTACTAAATATATTATGTTAGGTTTGACTAATCTTAAGATAAGTCGTAGGCCGTCTAATTAATTTATACTCTTAATAATAAAAATTACGACATCAATATAATTTTTAAATACTTTTTTTAGAAATACCTTTTATTATTATGATGTAACATTTCATAAATAATATGAAACATCACCTAATAATAAATAAAATGTCAAATAATATTGTGTTAACAATATTTCTAATTCCCACAATTATGTTGTAGTACCGTTAATAACAATATTAAAATTATCAAATTATTATAATTATGGGATCGAGATCTTATATACCTTTTTAGAATTGTGGGATTATATAACTTAATATTAAAATTATCAAATCAACATAATTATAGAAATTATCACTTACATAGTTTTTTAGTCTTGAAATTATATATATATATATATATATATATATATATATATATATATATATATATATATATATGACATGACATTGAGATCTTCTATAACTTTTTAAAAATTTTACATGATTTCAACTGTAAAATTTATTTTATTTTATAGTTAAAAGTAATTCTACATATAATTAATGGGTTCGCTTTTTTTTTTGTATATATAGGAAAGAAAAGAGAACTACACAGCAAAGTTTCTGGGCAACATAATGCCCCTCCTATCATCTAAAACCAACTTTGCACAACCCAAAGGGCAACTTTCATGCCATTGAGTATCCCAAACATACTGCCTACCACTAGAAGCCAGCCAATCCGCCACTTGGTTACTCTCCCTAAACACATGGTCAATCTCAACCTTCCAATCTTTATCCATCATAGCTCTGATTCTGTATACCATCTCATGACAAGGATGGGACTTCACACAGCCTTCTTTCACGAGATGAACAGCCACCAAGGAGTCGCTTTCAATCATAATTTGTTTAGAACCATACCCCCAAGCCCAATCTAGGCCAATCAAGATACCCCAGAGCTCTCCCATCAACACCGATTCAGGGTATAATCTCTTGTAGAACCCTGAAATCCAGTTCCCCAATTCATCCCTGGCTACCCCACCACAAGAATTATATGACAACCTCTCAGAAAAGGCCTCATAAGTATTAATTTTAATCCAACCAGGCCAAGGAGGACACCAACTCACCAAAATCTCTTCATATCCCACAGGAACAAGACCAGCAGCTGACAGCATACCATTGGCAGTGTTGATATTAGCAACATAGATTGAAGCTTGAGAGAACAAACCTTGGGGGGAGGAACTTTTGTTGTTGAAGACTAAGCTATTACGATCCTTCCACACTAGCCAGCAGATCACACCAAAAAGGAGCCTCCATTATTTTTTGATTTTTCTCCTATGCAGATTCTCATCCAGCCAACTACCCAGATCCAAATCAAGAAAAGTCTTCATATCATTGTTACCAACCTAGAATTTCCAAACCTCACAAACCCAAGGACATTTTCTCAAGATATGATCTGTATCATCCACTAGATTCTGGCAACTAGGACAAGCTTCCGAGGTTGAAAAGTGCCTACGAAACCTTTCAGCATTCGTTAGCAACTTATTCCCAGCAGCCAACCATAAGAAGAATTTGATCCTTTGGGGACCTGCCCATTTCCAAATAGTATCCCACTGCAAAGAAATAGAGCTCACACTCGGATTAGCAAGCAAGTTATAAGCAGATTTAACAGAAAAGGAACCAGAATTAGAGGGACTCCAAATCACCCTGTCCATCTCATCATAATTAAAGGAAGACATAATTTTCTCAATAGCCACTAGGATATCCTTGCTAAGGAAAGGACTGAACTTGTCCCAATCCCAACTACCCCTCTGGACACAGTCAGAAACTTTCCAATGCTTCATAGCTTCAGGAATGTTTGATAAGGACCAGTCAACCAATCTACCAATATTGGGCACCCACCTATCATACCAAAAGGAGGTGTTTGAGCCAGTCCCAATGATAATCCTAGATCCCTCTAAAACCTGATCCCACACTTTCTGAATGCCTCTCCAAGTGTTTGAAGCACAGTTGCTTTTTCTGAGAGTTGGCATAAAAGATTCCTCCACCTTATACTTATTTTGAAGCACTTTAACCCACAAGCTATCCCTGTTAGATAGGATATCAAAACCCAGTTTCATGGAGTAAGCTCTATTAATGAGCTTCTGATCTCTGAAACCTAGCCCACCATCTTTCTTTGGTCTGCAAACCCTATTCCAGCTCACCAGATGAACTTTCCCTTGGCTTTGAGAAGATCCCCAAATGAAATTCCTGGTTATCTTCTCAATCTCATTGCACACCCCCAAAGGTAACACTGTAGACTACGTAGAGTAGGCAGGCATTCCTTCCAACACTGATTTAGCTAAAACAGACCTTCCAGCCAAAGAGAGGGAAGTTAGATTCCACCTGGATAATCTATCCTACAATCTGTCAAGGATATTCCTGAAAGTACACTTGGTAGTTCTCTTATGATGAAGAGGTATACCAAGGTATTTACCTAGATCTAAGGTGATCCCCATCCCTAAAACCTCACTGATTTCAATAGCTTTGTTGAAACATACATTCTTTGAGAGAAAAATTCTAGTCTTATCCTTGCTCACCTTCTGACCTGAAGCATCAGCAAAAGTCCTCAAAACCTAATTAATCACCTGGGCTTGCTCTACACTGGCTTCAGCACAAATAATAATATCATCAGCAAAGAGTAGGTTAGAAATAGGAGGTGTCTTCTTCCTTAAGAAAATAGGCTTCCAGGCCCTAGAATCAACTGCCACCTGGATGAGTTGGGACAATTTCTCCATGCAAAGAACAAACAGAAGAGGGGAAATAAGATCCCCCTGCCTGATGCCTCTCTCATGAAAAATTTCCTTTGTAACAACACCATTCCAAAGCAGACTCATGGAAGAAGTAGATATACACTTATAAATCAAAAGAGATAGGGGTTCAGGCAGGCCTATGTCATCCAAGGTCTCCAGGATAAAGCTCCAATCTAGCCTATCATATGCCTTCTCTAAGTCTACCTTTATCATCATCCACCCTTGGCTTCCTTTCTTTACTCTCATAGAATGAATAACCTCCTGGACTATGATGACATTATCAAACCCTTGTCTACCTTTAATAAAACTACATTGATTAAGGGAGACAATTCTCGGTAGCAGATCCTTCAGCCTCCCAACAATGATTTTTGTAATGATTTTATAGACCACATTACACAAACTAATGGGTCTAAAATCCCTTATACTCTCAGGACTTTCCTTCTTAGGGATTAAGCAAATTAAGGTGCCATTTATATCCCTAACCATCTCAGGCTTATTGAAGACATCCATCACCAGGCTACAAACAGAATCACCCACAGTGCCCCATTGACTCTGGAAAAAAATGGCACTCAGTTCATCAGGACGGGCTTTGAATTTCTCCATCATAAAAACTGTCCTTTTTATTTCCTCCTTAGATGGAACCAAAGCCAGCCTCCTCTTATCACACTCAGCCAACCTAGGAAACACCTTCTGAATAGGAAATTTGTCTTCCCTCACACCCTCAATAGTGAAGAGGTCTTGGTAGAAAGAAACAGCCAACTGGACCAGACTCTCAGAATCAGCTATCCAGTTACCACCCTCATCTTTCAGGGTCACAATTCTGTTGTGCCTTCTCCTAGCTACTGTTGATGCATGAAAAAATCTGGTATTTTTGCCACCAAATTTCAGCCATTGGTTACGAGGTCTTTGAAACCAAGTCAGTTCTTCCTTCACCAGAACAGACTGAAGTTTCCTCCATAATTCGTTCTGCAACAGTTCAGTATTGTGATCATATCTCCCATACTTATATGAATCCAGGCCATTCAGCCGAGAATAAAGCCTACTTTTTCTGCTTAATAACCTCCTTGAAGACATTCTGGTGCCAAAATCTAGCATCAACCTCAAATTTCCTCCTAGCAGTCATCCAATTCCCATTTTCCCAACAACTTCTAACCAATTCCCCGAATCTAGAGTCAGTTAGCCAGGCTGCCATGAATTTAAAGCTTCTAGAGTGTTCCATAGGAACAGATACCATCTCATTACATAAGAGGATAGGCCTGTGATCCGAATTGTAGAAGGGAAGATGGGAAACAAACCTGTTGGGCCAAGAAATGTTCCTTGCTTCACTAAAACAGGCTTTATCCAGCCTCTCTTGAAGCCTACCCCTTTTCCAAGTAAAATCAGGGCCTTTAAACCCCATATCACTGACATTGCAGTTAAAAAGACACTGATTAAACTCATCCATACCCTTCCAACAAAGCTCCTGACCCCCAATCTTCTCAAAAGCATAAAGGATATCATTGAAATCCCCCAGAACCAACCAAGGATCAGTCATGCCATAACTGATATCCTCCAATTCGAGCCACAAAGCTCTTCTCTCCATCCTCCTAGGACTCCCATAGACAAAGGTGATAAAATCAACCTTCTTTGAGTCCAAATAAGTCACCTTGGTATGGACAAACTGATGATGATGGATCAATACCTCCACATCCACCAAGTTGCCCTCCCAAAGTAACCAGATCCCTCCAAAAAATCCCACATGCTCTTGACTAAAGAAACTAGAGAAGCCTAGCTTCCTAATAATATCATCTCCTTTCAAAACCCCTACACGGGTCTCCAGCAAGGCCATAATACTAATTTTAAATCTGAATTTTAAATCCCTAATGAGGGTAGGAAAGCTAGTCTTACCCACCCCCTGCAATTCCAAGACAAAACAGACATGAATGCAAAAAACAAAATCTGTACAAAGAGAACAGCCCCAAAGGCTATCTACATACCTGGTGGGAAGGTGTACCCCCCCCACCAAATTGGTAAAACTCTCCACATTTCTTGAACCTGGAACATATGTTTTAGAGTCTGGATCCCCACAGCAAGCACCACCAAGATCTTTTTTAACACTGTTGGAGATAGAACTACCCAAAATATTGGGACCCTCCGAACCAGCCAAGTTCTTAAGCTTACCCTTAACTGGACCTTTGGACAGACCATCAGCCATAGGGACAGGAGGAACATTTTCAATCCCATTCTTCTTTAAAGCTTGCTTGATCCCAAATTTAGGTCTGTCTTTACCTTCTTTTACCACATTCTTCTTAGTTCCAACCTCAAGAGATCTTCCTTTCTTCTGAGGACTAAGGACAGAGGATTCAACACTACCTCCTTTTATAGGATTAGTGTTTACCAACTCTTGCGCAGGACTAGTTAAAGAATTTCCACTAACCACACATCCCGCAATACTGCCAACCTCTATGCTTACATGAGCAACAGTCTTCCGTACCTCCAAGCCACTAAACTCACTCCCTACCAGATGAGAATTAACCAAACCCTTAGAATTAAGGTCATCCAGAATAGGATTCTACACCTGCACCACCTTGTCCACCTTTCCTGGAGGGATTGGTATAGCCTTCAACTTCCTATTTTTTGGTTGTCTCTGGACAACCATCCAGCTCCCAAAAGCTTCTTCCACTTTCACCTCCTTCTGTTATACTGTAGGACCACCAGCCAAAGCCTTCTCCTGATCTGAGATGTCATCCTTTTGTTAGGGATAGACCACCTGGTCAGCAGGACAATGGTCTTTTCTATGACCATACATACCACATTTGAAACAAATAAGATGCAGCCCTTCGTACCCAACCTGATATACCTTGCTTCCTATCACAAATTTAGATAGGAAACTCCTCCTCAGGTCCACTTCAACACAGATTCTAGCGAATTTGGCACGTTCAGTAATAAGATCCTCCCCAACTTCATTTTTCCTAAGGGAGTTCCTCTCAACTTTTAGGGTACGACCAAAGAAGTTCCCAATACGCCAGAGGTTTCAAATCGTGTACAGTTCAATTGGGAGTCCAGGAACTCTGATCCAAACTGCCAATTTCTTGACACTCTCATCATACGGATCGAAGAAGGGCCTCCACCTTTGGACAATCACTTAGTGGTCATTAACAATCCAGGGCCCTTCTTCCAAAACATGACGGTAATCACCATCATTCTGGAATCTCAGTAACAGGAACCCATTATCTAGATCAATGGCTTCAAAGGAACTTACTAGATTCCAGCTCTTCTGCAGCCTGGCCAGCAGGAACCTCAGGACAATTCGCTTCCCCAGCAACTTGATGATCAGGGCCTTACTCCACTTCTCGCAGTCCCTCTTGTGCTCCTCAGCAGAGAGGATGAGTCTTGGACACAGGGGATCTTCTTCCCCAGCCTGACCCTTGCCTTCCATCAGTAAAGCTTCTTAATATTCCTTCTTCTATAGCGAGACCCAAATCTCATCCTCACTATCAGACAGGCCTCCATTCCCGTTCAATCTTAGTAATTTATCCTTATAGGATACGACCTTCACACGAGAGCCTCCAAATGCTTCCATCATCTTCTCCTCTAGGATCACGAGGTTAGGGCTTTGCCCTACAGAGGCATCAGCTAGATCCTCGTGCATCTCCTCATCCATTGTAGCGTCATCCGATGTTTCCCCTTTCATTTTCTTCCCAGTCGGGGGAGAGTTCTCCTCTTCTAGCAAGCTCCTACCTCTCACATTCTTCAAGCTATCATCCTCCTGATTAGATCCTTGAACTCCATCATCAACCTCCATTGAAACACAGTGTAAAGAAAAGCAACCCTAGCACAGAGAAAAAAAAAAATCACGCGCGTGTATCTACGCGTTCACATATTTGGTTACCCTATTATTTGTATGGGTTCACTTTTTCTAAAGTGAATGTAGATAACTTATCTACATTGAGCGCAAAACGACGTCGTTTTGAGGCAGAAATCAAGGTATTTTTGTAATTATAATTTATTTCAGGGTTATAATAGTCTTTTTCATCATAATTTTTTAATTTTTCAACCCAAAACGACGTCGTTTTGGGAGCGAATGTAGTTGAGCCATCCAATTACAAACTAGACTACCCTTTTTAAATTTTTTAAGTTTTCAACCCAAAGCTTTTTCACTTTAGAAACATTAAAACCATAATTAAATGAAGTTGAGCCATCCAATTACAAACTGGACGAATGCAGTCTATATTTGGAAGCGTAAATAACCGAATTTCATATAACGACGTAAGAAAGAAAGAAAGAAATAAAGAAAAGTTACCTTTTCCCTAACGAAATCATGCCAACATGTCACAGCTTATGATCAATGGTGGCTATATATAGTCTATTACTTATCACTAAAAAAATTATACTAACTCATGGTTCTACTCCACGACCTTGTACTAAATTGTGTGTTAAGAGTCCATGACTTACCGTGATTAATGTTAAAAGATTTTATCAATTATATAAGGTGTGCTTAGAGTTCAAGATGTTACTTTAAAAAATTAAAATAAAAGCACTTACTAAATTAAAGGTGAAACTCGCGATTTCTTTAAACTTATATATATTATTTTAAAAAAAGTTATAGTTACACGAAATTTATTGTTAACATATGGAATCGTTGAGGTGGCACATGAGGGACATTATAAAAGTGTCATTAATCATAGTCCCTGCAATTTATTGTTAACATAGAGATCACATTTCTTAATAGCTCCATAAACAACGATGGAGGGTACAGACCAAAAGATATGCAGCTTCATCAATGATACAAATGATCAGCTGCAAAATCCAAGAACCCATAAGCAATCCCATTGTCTTTCTTTTGCAAAACTTGCACAGAATTACCCTCCTGGTTTTCCAAGAATGGTAATTAAGAGAAACTCTCTAATTTCTACATTTCATGATATCCACTCACCAACTGAGAAGCATACATTATATTCATTTCTATTTATTATGGCAAGGTTTATGCACATGCCATATTTTAAGAGAAAAGGAACTTGATATATGCATGCTGCGTAGACAGTTTTATCTTCATTCCTTCTCTTGTGTAATATGATATCATTTGAGCTCATGTAATGATTTTTTTTTTCTCACTTTTCATTCTAATATGCTCTCTTTTCAAGGTTAATTTATTTATAAAGGAATAAAATAAGTTTACATGATGATACTTTATATCAGATAAAAGAATCTATTCAATCCTATATTAATTATTTTTTTAATTGTTATATAGAAAGAAAACAAATAATCATTGTTCCTGTTGATCCAATATATATAACAGGTATTTGCAGAGATAATAGGCACCTATCTGTTGGTTTTTTTGGGAAGTGGTGCTTCTGCTCTTAATGCTATTGATGAAAACAAAGTCTCAAAACTGGCAGGTTCACTTGCAGGAGGATTCACTGTAACGGTGATGATTTATGCAATTGGACACATCTCTGGGGCACACATGAATCCTGCAGTCTCCTTAGCTTTTGCCGCCGTGAGGCGTTTTCCTTGGAAACAGGTTTGTCTGTATAGTGAGAATGCTATTCTTATATTTTAATATAATCTTCTTTTGTGCTCATACAAGGTCCCACACGAACTTATTGAATCGATGACATAACAATTTCCGGAACAATGACTAAAATATCATGTTGACCAAATTTTTTATCTAAATATCACGCGACAAACTGTATTATTTTCCAATATGTCACGTGGGCAAGTTCGCTGGACACTGTAGCGAACTTAGTTTGCTGACGTGTCACATTTTTAGTGGACACCAAATTTGCTACTTGAGGTAGCGAACTTGGTTGCAATACATAAAAATTATGCATTCCAACCAAGTCCGTTACCTCAAGTAGCGAACTTGGTACTTGATATCTACTAGAAACGTGATACACCAGCAAATTGAGTTTGCTATAGTGCTCAGCAAACTTGCTCACGTGGTATATTGAGAAATAACACTGTTTGTGTAGCATTTGGATATAAAACTTGATGAACAGTGACATTTTGATAAGTGTTCCACAATGTCTTGGAGTAGTCGTGAGACAATTGAGGGAAACTGTTAAATACACTTTGGGATAATTAGACAATAATCTTATACTAGAGCACTCAACATGTATAGCATGTTTTATTGTCTCCAACTTTAATGATTATATTTAATTCAAGGTTAATAATATTTCACTAGATCCTTGAATACATAATGTCGGATTAATGTGTTATGCGGTTTCAAGTGGTTCGATGCTCCTCGTCTATAGTTTTTATCTCCCTTAACAAATTCAAGTCTTTATTCTTGAGAATATAATAATATTCTATGTATATACTTTCCTTCCCATGTATTCATATGCTTTTCTAGGACACAATTTTTAAGCTTTCATATCAAATTAAATTAACATTTTTCTTTTGTTATTCATTCAAATGAGATTTTTACTTTACTTAACATATTTAACAAATATTTAAAATTCTTCGATTAGCATTAGACATAATAAAATAGGGTATAATGTTTCTCTTATTGCATGCTGCATTTGTTTCGTAAGTGGAGAGGGTTCAATTTCCCATAAAATATCTTTATATCATTTCATATCCCCTCCCACTAATCCAAAAAAAAAAAAAAAAAACACCTTAGGTTATAAGTAATCATAGGAAATTCAGATCAGTGAGGTTGTAGTTTTAGATGGCCAACATATTTTATGGATTAGTTGTAGTTTTAGACCCATTATACTGATCAGGAACGTAATTAGCCCACGATTATGTTGCAGGTCCCATTTTACATTGCAGCTCAACTCACAGGAGCTATTTCTGCTTCATATACGGTGAGAGCGCTGTTAGATCCAGCAAAGCAGCTTGGGGAAACGACACCTTCAGGATCAGACATTCAAGCACTAATCATGGAAATGGTTTCCACCTTCACCTTGATGTTCATAGCCACTGCCGTGTCCACCGACAAAAATGCTGTAAAATAAATACCAACCATGCTAAAAATGATAGCTGTATATATGTTCTTTCCCAAAAGCAGAACATAATTACACTCATTACCTTAAAATGTTGTCATTCGACAGATAGGAGAGCTGGGAGGACTAGCCGTTGGTTTTTCTGTTAGCATAGCAGGCATTGTCGCCGGGTAAGTACACCAACAAAAAAAATATTAACTTTTCTTTTTTAGTTATAAAAAAAATTTAGAGTAAAGTATTTTTTTGTCTATTCAACAAATATCATTCCGCCATTTAATTTCTTATGAAAAAAAATTGATACATGTTATTCTAAAATTTAAAATAGACTCGTGTTAATTTTTTTAAGAAATTAATGTGGGTCTTTTTAAATTTCAGAGGACCACGATTTCGATTAACTGAATTTATTTTAAATTTCAAAAAGACCACGACTTAGATTTTTTTTTCTAAAAGATTAAAATTTTATATTTTATTCTAAATGATTAAAATAAGCTCCACAATTTTTTGTTGAGGATCAAAGTTACTGTACTAAAAAAAAAAATTATTTTCCTTCCCCCTTTTACATTGGTGAAAGACAGGAAACGCATAACCACAGACAAAAAAAAAAGCTTAAAAATCGGAGACTCAAAGTCTCTCATAGGCAAAGCCTGTTGATGAATATTAATGAAAGATTGAGTTGAAAGCTAGAGACATGCATGACATAATCTTATGTTTTGAAAATTATTAATTGAACAAAATTTGATAATGATAAAGTTGTCCTGTGTGTTTATACAGGCCAATATCAGGGGGATCAATGAACCCAGTAAGGACATTAGGTCCTGCAATTGCTAGTGCATCCTACAAGGGACTTTGGGTGTATATGGTTGGACCAGTTACTGGGGCAATTTTAGGTGCATGGTCTTACACTGTGATTCAGGGCACTGATAAGCCAGCTTCTGTAATTTCACTATCTTCCTTTCCGTTCAAGCTGCGCCAGAGGATGAATGAAACTGAGCTAGTTCGTAACAACGACCACCTCACCTCGGTTTGAGAATAGTGTTTTGGACAATGCCCCCTCAGCCTTTGGAATGACATGTCTTGGAGGATCTCAAGTTCAATATAATGTTTCGGCATTCAAGATCAGACATGTATTGATTTTGTTTTTTCAGAGTAAATTTTTAGTCTCTGACAAAAAATATGATCTCCACTTTAATCTCTTACAAAAATAAATTAGTCAGTTAGTCTCTAACAAATTCAAAGTGGACCCGTTTAGTTGAAATCGTGGTCCCTCACAAATTCAAAAAAGACCCATATTAGTCCCTCAAAAGGACTAAAATGGGTCCACCTTGAATTTGTTAGGGACTATCTGACTAATTTATTTTTATAAAGGACTAAAATGGAGACCGTATTTTTTGTTAGGGACCAAAAAAGATATTTACTCTCTTTTTTAAATATAAGATTAATAAATTATTTTTTATGCTATTTTTTTCTGTATTATAATTTCTTTTTTAATGGCTTGTCACGCTATGACAGCAGTTTCTGTCTGGTTGTGCTCATGACATGTGGGTCATACATGTCACAACGTGCCTAGAACTAGAAGGGGATGTGATTAATGAAATAATTAAAATTTATTAAAAATGTATAATAGAGATAATGCCGTTAATAATTTTATTTAATTTAAAAAATAAAAAACATACTATTACAATAATTGATCTTTGACAATCGAGATCAAGTACGAAAATATGATTATACACGAAGAATAGTGAAAACTTAATTTCATTACATTCTTAATATATTATTTTTTACAATCGTTACATTACTTTAAAGTTATGGTATAAATTGTTAATAAACTCAAAATTTTATTTTATTCTCCAAAAATGGAATAAATAAAATGAGTTGAATCAAATATAATTATTTGGAAAAGAAACGAAATAATAAAAAACTGATTTTGGCTTGATCGGAATTTCCGATGTTAATTATTTTTAATACAATGAGAAACTCGAAACAGCATTTAATTTGTTGTTCTGGAAATATTTGTGGACGGTTAAATTTAGTTTTTGTAAAGTTTTTCTGAAAAAAATATAATAGATCCTATAATTGCACGAGGTTTGAGATAGCATAATTATGTGTATACCCTTATGAAATTATACAAAACTTGAAAATGATAAATTATTGTTGTAAGTCGTTACATGAATTTTTTTGGTTGTTTGGAATAGGCTATTGGGCTAGTTGATAAATTATACCGGAGAATTTCTCGGCGACCTGGTCGCGGCGGAGTATTTGGTGGGGGAATGCTAGTTTGCGGCAGTTGTCGATGATGGCGCAGAAGGTGGGATCATCGGGTGGGCCAAGGTCAAAGTTATGGGCCCTGAAGTAGACCTTGTAGCCAACATGGGCCTGAGCTTCTTGCCATAGCTTATAGGATCACTCGATGACTCAAATATGAACAAGGAAAAATACTGAAATTAACACTCTTGTAATAGCTAAAAATAAAAAATAAATTCAACACATATGAATAAGATAAAAACCAACATTTTAAATTCTTGAGCTAGAATCTATATTCCCCCTACTCTTGAAAAAATATTTTGTACTTGTATAGTACTGGTCACTCACTTTCTAAAATTGATAAAAAGTAAAGGTGTAATTGGATTGAATTAGGTTAGACTTTGGTCCAAATACGGTATATGTAAAATATTTTGAGTTTAGTCTAGTTTATTGGTCTACTGTTGGTTAAATTATAGTTTTGATCTATATTTAAATATCAAAATGTATGATATAAGTTTATTAGCCTATTAAAACTTATTAATGTTGTTAAAATCGAGATTTTAAGTAAAATCGAAAGAGAACTAAAAAAATCGTAAAAACGTTTGAAATATTACTAAAATCGTTTTGATGAAAAAAAATCGTAAAATCGTAGTGATAAATCGATATTTTAACAACTATGCTAATTACACATATCAAATTATAAAAAAATAAGTACAATATTATTTTATTTTATTTAAAATAAATAAAATAATATAGGTTGTCTCGTAGGTTTATAGCCCTAGCTTTGAAGAAAAATGGGGACATTGACCATTATGCAGCCCTTATGAATAGTAAGTACTAGTATACCATGTTCCAATCAAATTTTGCCAAAATGTCACGTCATATTCTCGCTACGCCAACAAGCGAGAATGGACTGAACATTTGGCAGCGTCTTGCAGGGCACAAATCTCCTTTATAATCTTAAAAATATATTTGAGTTGCAAATTTGAGCTGAAATATTTAAAAAAGTAATTTGAGATATTGTACAATGGATGGCAAAGTGAAATTTTCTTACAAACTTAGGAAAAAATAAAGAGTATTTTCAAATGAATGGCAAAGTGAAATTTTTATTATTTCATTTATTTCTTTAAAATGGATTTTAGACATAAATTAATGTGGAAGAATCAACTTAATAAAAAAATCTCAGAATAAATCTTAATTATTGATTTACTTGTATCTAATGACCTTAATTTATTATAAAATTAATCTTTTAAAAATTCTACGCGATATTGAATTAGTTCTATTTCACCATCAAATTAGTATTTAATATATCAAATTATTTCTCTAGAGACTAAACTGATAACATTAATTATTGCTGAACAAATATTTTGATATTACTAATAAATGAAGGATCAATGTATCACAATATACTTATTTTTGGAAGACCAAATGACTGCTTACTCTCTCTCTTTTTCTTTTTTCTTTTTTCTTTTTTCTTTTTTCTTTTTTCTTTTTTCTTTTTTTGTTGAGCGATTGCTTCTCTTTTGTTTATATAATTTAGATGATAAGTTTATCGCATTTTGGTCGGAAGGAATTTTAAAGTATCCTTGCGTAGTTATAGAAGATTAGAAGTAATAGGTGTAATAAGAATTTAAGATACATCTTTATTTATTTATTTATTTGTACAATTTGACATACATCTTTAGGAATTTAGAGCATTGGCTGATTGGCTTTTGTAAGCATTTTAGAACATCAATTCTATTGTAATTCTTAAATGCGTTGTTAATATTGGATACATCATGTCTAATACCTCTAAAGGGAGTCACAATTCAGAATCATAATTTTAATTTCAATTCCCTTCGGATGGAATTTTCTTACTCGTGAATTTCCCCAAACCCAAGTTTATTCTGTGTAAAGAACTTTAGGATAGACCACCCCAAAAGTTAGCTCAAGAGTAGGAGTGTCCAAGGCCTTATAAAGGTCACATTAGTTGCCCACATAATCAATGTGAGACTATTTATCTCAACACGCCCCCTCACGCAAGAGCCCTTTAGGCTAGAAGCGTGGAATTGCACAGGCTAGTTTATCTTTTTGTACTTTTTTTTTTTTTTTAATTCCACTTGAAAGTGGGGGATCGTAAGAATCGAACTTGTGACCTTTTAATCACTCAAACTCTGATACCATATAAATAATCTTGAGATATTATGAATTTCAGGTAATTATACCAGTCTTGATGGCAAAGACCACATACAAGCATACATTTTCAATTAATACGTAACTAGCAAAATTTCTATATTTTTCTTATTATTTGTATTATTTTATTCTTTTCAGCTGAGTCATTTGGATCATCAATCTTTAATATTTTATAGAATTTTGTACCCAAAAAAAAAAAGTTTCTATAGAACGTTACATTAACTCCTAACAAAAACGGTAGGATTCAGGTCTTAGCCCATTATATGGTCATTGTTCCTACTCCATAAAGATATACAGAAGAAAGTACATGTCTTGTCTGGAGTAAAATGAGCTCCTACATTTCGAGAGAAAGATGCGTGACTCAGTGGCCATCAGTTTACCTTATCTATTTGTGGGGTTTGTTTTTCTCAAATTCCATGAAAAAATAAATTCTTCCTATACATATTATAAAAAAGTGTATCTTTTTTTTTTCATTTTTCTAAAATAGTGAATCCCATATTTGATGTATCCATGATATTAGAATTTTCTTATAACATAAGATTTATTTTTCTCTCTATTTATACCTTTGTCTCAAAAGCCTTTATGAATGTTGTTATAGAAGTATAAAATTAAAGTCTTATTAAGAAATCGCATTAATAGAAAAAGAGTTTTTTCTCATCGAAATGGTAAAGTATATAACGTGGGCACTTCTCTATAACCTAATTCCCTCTTAAATTAAATAGTTCAATACATCATTACGAATTACAGCCATTCATTCCTTATTGGAACCACTAATAATTGATTTGCCAGGACAAGATTAAGATAACAAGAAATTTCATATATGATAACACTTAACCATATTAATAAGCCACCCTCATTAAAGGCAAACAAGCCCTATGGGGTGATAAAGGAGGAGCCCATAAACTCAAAAGGGCAGCCCTAACATACATGAGAGCATTTTCAGAGAACCAAAAGGGGCTACCATTTGATTAGTTAGGACACAGAAAATAATAGATAAGTAAACTAGTCTTATAAATGGGAGAACATCGGAAATTATTATATAGAAAAGCAACGGTTGATATATGAAGCTGAAGATCAAGGGCACTTAGGTCCTCCTTCCTTAGTCTTCCAGTTGTTGTAGCAAGGGCACACAGCTTTGTTCCCATAATACCCTGGGGGCACACACAGGCATTTCCTGCAGCACTTCTGACAGAAAAACATGCAGGGCTTGTGGTATTGGGTCTTGCCACACCTCCTCGAGCATTGTGATGGGCATTCTGGTCATATAACATATCAAAAGTAACAAGACAACCAATAAACGTTAATAAAACAAGGCATTATCATCAAAATGATCAATGGTCATTTCTTTTCACACATGCATCACAGTCAAAAAGCACTCCAAATGAAGCAGCTTTTACGGAAACAATTTTGACTACAGTCAAAGTAAAATAATAAAAATAACCCAATATCTGCCCCGAGTTATGGGCGGTTTCTTAAAATGTTCATTCTTCCAATTTCAATGTAGAAATCTCTGATCTCTACATGGCTTTATACCATAAAAGACAAGGTGATGATGAAAAGAACAACCAAAAGAATTGCAGAAGGAAGTTGTTTACTTACGGTAGCTCTTGAGACTCCCGGGTCCATATTGGCTCTGAAGAAACACACAATTAAGCACCAAAAATCAGCATAAATTCACCCTTCACAATGCAAAATTCCTAGACCCCCACAAAGAGAAAGACACAAACTTTAAAGGGAAGAAGTGGTTAGTGTGTGATTACCTTGTTATCATCATAAAGGTGGCCTCCTTGCCCATTAGCTGCCATAACCTGAAAAACCAAGCCATTCAAACGTAAGAACCCATCACATTCTAAGCATTGTAAATTAAGAGGGATAAAAAAAAAAAAAAAGATTTCTTTTGGACATTAAAGACCAACCACTGTTTGAAGCATGGAAATGGCAATGAGTGCCAAGATCAAAGCAGCAAAGAACTTAGCCATGGCCATTGTTGCGGAAACACACTGATCCCTGAACCCCTCTTGATTTGGTAACACTTGTGTAAAGCACCAAGACAAAACAACGGGAACCAAACCAAAACACAAGAGGGATATTTAGGAAGACAATGGGATCATAGCCGAATGGAAATGTGGGGTATTTGTAGAATGTTAATGGGTGGGATTTAGATGCAACATTTATTAGGTGTACCCAGTAGTACCGAGTTGTCCTCACTGTGAAGAACCATGGTCTGACACGTGTGTCGGCACGAATAACATGACGGTGATGCAAATCACATGATATCTGATGTGTTTTCTATAATAAAGCATTAAATTTAATTGGTAAATGCCTATCAACTTGAAAGTTGAAACGTAACTGCATAATTGCTGCTCCACAAAAGCTACAACTGTTACGAGAGAGGAAAATATGGGGTTGCATATATCATGTCACGTTTGTCTGCACACATAACATTTTGTGGAACCTGTATTTTTTGAAGCAAAAAAAAAGAAAATTTAAGGCACGTAAAATGAATTTCTATAACATTACACAATCATTTTTCCTACAACACAACTCTTATAAAACCCGAAAAATATATGATATTATTAAGGAAAAACCATTCTTATCTTATTTCATATGAAATTAATAAAACTCTATTATTAAATGGTTGTAATTTAGTTGATACATGAAAATTAAGTAGAGGAAAGAAAATGATTTCAGTTCGATCTTTGTATGTTATTTTTGAGAGTAACTTAAAATCTTTATTTCTGACATGCCTTGTACTCCTTATAAATCTCATAATCGACTCAAATAATCAAAGTTTGTGAGAATATCGGGACAAGTTTACTTGCCTTAAAAAAATAATTTGTGTATGTTTCTCAAGAAAAAGAGAGACAATGATACCGAATTAGTGAATGGATCTTGCTGTTTTTAAATTATTTTACACTAATATTTAAAGCAACCATATAGAATTTATATCTGCCAAAACTTATATTAATTTTTGTAATGAAATTAATTTTAAATTTATCTAATTTCTTATCAAATTCTTTTTCAAATTTATGTAATTTAATATAAATGGTTTTGATAAAAATTCATAAATAATTTTATTTTTTCTCTGTCTATTTTTATTACAATTTTTTGGGGCTCGGTGCATCCCATTAAGATTTGGTGCTTGATTTGTATACACTGGTGTTAGATGATAAAATAAAGTCCATTTATAGAGAAAAAATTTAGAGCTCCGCTCCTTAGTCAAGACATTTGTAAATTTTGATTTTTCTTTTCTTTTCTTGTCCACTGCTCCTAATCGTTGTCCCATTTTTATTGGTTTGACCCACTAATTCATGCATCGGGACTGTTGAAATTCTTTTCCCATTTATGATACAAGTTTAGATTTCAAGAAAGAAAAAATAAATTAGACAGTGATAATTTGTTTTGTTAGAGATTTTGTCAAAAATGAGTTAATGTTTTCATTGACTACGAAAAAGCTATGTCTATTATTTTAAAAAAGAATTTTGACAATTTATATTTAAGTTTAAAAAAGAAAAAGAAAAGAAAACTCGTGACGGTGCAGTAAGAGGAGGAGCATTCAAGAAAGGTATGGCGACGGTTAGAAAGTTGGTAATGAAGTAACGTGATTGAGTATGAAAAACTGAAAGTGGAATGGATATAAGGGACCCATAGAGACACGAAAGTCAAGCTTTATCAAATGTAAAAGAAAAGATCTTTTTACTTTTTTCTTTTCTTTTTACAAACAAATTAAATCATTATACTTTATTAATAAATAAAATCTGCTCTGTGACTGTGATAGCCTGTCGGATTTGCATGTGCGACCACGTGACTCCAGCTGCGCCGATTTCACTAATGTGCACAGAGTGCACTGTATTGTAATAATGTCTATGATCTGCTTTCCGTTCCCCGCCAGTGTTTTGTTTATCTTCCTTTCTTTTTAGGATAGAATATTTTTAATTTAATTCTTATATATATAATTTTTATATGTATAGTTCTGTTAACTTTGTTGTCGCAATTTATTAATGTCATGTGCTAGTTATAATCCTATAAAATTTAGTGACCAAATGAAAATTTCGTAATGTATAAGAAATTAAGAATAACATATATATAGGTGATTTGGATCGGCCATACAAGTAAGGTCCATTGAATCACCCTTTAAGATATATTAAAAGTGTTATATTCCTATATTCCTGAAGACAAATATGACTTTACTACACTGAATATCACTTCCCTATACAACATTTTTAAGTTTTAATTATATCATACTTCTAGGACTAAATTGTACTACACTGAATATCACTTTCTTATACATCAGTTAAGTTTTAATTATATCATACTTCTAGAACTAAATTGTGCTAAAAAATGTTGAGGTACTTTTATGGACCGGATAAAAATCCGCATTCTAAAAAGTTCAAATAGGGCTAACGACTAAGAGGGAATTAAGAAAATATTCTTTAATTATATTAAGGGTTCATTTTTTCTGCAGTTACTGTAGATAAGTTATCTGCAGTAAGTTCAATACGATGTCGTTTTGGGACGGAAATCATGGTATTTTTATAATTTTAATTTATTTCAGGGTTATAATAGTCTTTATATTTATAATTTTTTAAGATTTCAATACCAAAACGACATCGTTTTGGGAATAAATGCAGATAACTCATCTACATTAACTGCAGAAACATTTTTCCCTTATATTAATCATACAACGACAGCAATGGATCAACAATTGGACCATCAATACTCCTAAGAGGCCCAGAAGTCCACTCCTGTTAGGTAACTCATCTATAAATAATTAAGGGGTTAAACCAATAAGGTATGCACACTCTAAACTCTCTCTCTCTCTTAGCTTATTACTACTCACACACTTCACGCCTTGACTATGTCGTCTTTATTATTATGCACAGTGATCCGCTGATCTATAAGGTACCTCCCCCATAAGTACCTGAGAGAGGACAAACATATCTTATATTAAATACCAATCTATGATTGGTCATCTCGATCTACCAGATCGTAACACTTACCTTACATTTAGTGAGACACAAAAGTATCATTGTTAAAAACTAGTGTAAAAACATAATGTTTTTACGTTTTCACTAAAGTGATACGTGTTAAAATGCAAGTAAAATCTCTCTTCAGTAAAAATTGGTAAAATCTTTGTGCAAAAACGTAAAAACAGTAAAAACACAAGTTTTTACGTTTTTACTTAAACCAAATAACTAAATCGAGTCTTATAAAAAAAAAAAAAAAAAATTGAATCGGATCAACTTTTAATATGACTCAGTTTTTTTTTTTAAAAAAAAAAAACTATTTCCATTTCCCCCAAATCAAATTGCATAGTATCTTCTTCTAGTTATTTGAAAAAAAAAATTATGGCATGAGGTCGTTATTGTAGAGAAAGAAGAGGGTGAAGCCATTGGTAAAAAGTTGAAGTACCAAGCTGAGGTGGAATTTGAATAAATCTATTATGTTTTATTGCAAAGAACTTGTTATAGGAGCAAGAGAAAAGGATATTGAGGACATGCAACTGATGCAAAATGATGTGTTTGATTTGTATTAACTCATAGAATTTAGAAGTTATTAAACTTTATTGTTTTGATATTTGGAACTTGTCTTATATAATTATGTAACTTATATCTTTTAAGGGAAAAAATTTGTGCTTTAAAATGATATAAGTTGTGTCCTTTTAGTTTTTTTACATTATGTACTCCCAATAATACATAATTATAACTTGAAAAATTGCTTTTTTTTTTCTCCTCAGTCACGTCAGCTAATGTGAAAAGTGAAAAAAATTAACTTTTTATGTTATAACTATATACTAACAAGTAGGGGTGTAAATGGGCTGGACTGGACCTTGGCTTAAATAGGCCAAGCTTGTGTAAAAAACGTTGGGTATGGCCTGACCTATTAGCCTATGTAGGCTCCAAATTAAAAGTCTGGTCTGACCTATATTAAAAAATAAAAGTCTTGGCATAGGCCTGTTAGCCTGTCTAAGTCTATTAAACATTCAACAATTAAATGAATAACTAAAATAATATTATTTTATTATTCAAAATTATTAAATAATAATTTTATTTATTATATTTTAAATAAATAATATGATATAGGCCGACCTGTAAGCTTATAGGTCCGACATGTACAAAAAAGCCTATGGCTTTTTTTCTAAATAAGTTTTTTTGAAAGCTTAGGCCTATTCTATTTTACTACTTATAATAGGTCAAATTTGACCTAATATAGGCTAGGTCGTAGGTCTTGTAAGCCGGTCTAGCCCATTTACACCCCTTACTGACAAGAATACAAAATAAAAAATTAAAAAGACCCAACTTTTAACATTGATGTCCCTTTCGATTTCTGCGAATGCTTTTTTTTTTTCCTTGTCTAAAAGAAACACCAGTTATGTTCTTTATTTTGAATTCCCTTCGTTGCATTGCCTGCTTGATTCTTCAATTTTTAGTCCATGATAAGTACTTTGATTTTTCCTTTTATCCTATTTAACATTTTTTTTTATTATAAACAAAGAATATAATTTTGAATCTATTGTTCAAATCCATAAGTAGGAAAGAGAAAATGTTAATACATGAAGTATTAACATAACTTTTGATCTATGCAAATTAAAAATACTACTTAGAGGACATAAAGTTACATTAAATTTCTATAAGACTGAGAAAGTTGTATTAAGTTTTACTTGTTTTATTAATATCATTATATTTCTTTGTTATATTTTTTTTTGACTCTTGTAACATTGAATGTTTGTTAAAAATTCATATAATTTTTTAAAATCTTGTAAATTTATTATAATATTAATAATAAATTATTTAAAATCAAATCCTATAAAATATTTATTTTTTAAAAATGTCTTTAAAATCATTACATTTTTAAATAGTTAAAATCTACATGGGTTTTTTTTTTGTCCCTAAATAGTTTTTTAAAATCTTAATTCAAATACATCCCTAAATTAAAAAAGTGTTATATAAATAATTAAAGATCATACATAAAAATTTAAAAATGTATTTTAACTTTTGCTCTGATTAGATTTAAAAAGAGAGAGTAAATATTCTTGCTACAATTTATATATTT